AGAAAATCATAATATCAAAGATCAATTAGGTAGGTGATCAATATAAAAATATACATATCAGGTATCAATATAAAAATAGTACTATCTATATAAAATATTAAGCATATAAATCTTCGGTACAAAAATATGACTATTTAAATATTTACGACAGACCGACCATCCACCATATATCGCCAATTTGCAAAGGTCAAATGGAAAAAACAGAGTGGTCAGCACATTTGCAACAAAATAAAGAAAAATAGTAGTTTAAAAAGAGGAAACAGACGGAGGATAAAGCCACACAGTACTGCCCTAGTCAGTCAAAAAACAGGATAGAGATAGGGCAGTATTCAAACCTCTAGGTTTTACTGTACTTAACGTACGGCCCCAATAGGCTTCTCGACTTAACAGAATATTATCCCCGTCACCACCACGGTTAGGTTTCGACACATATTCGATCACCATTGCCCTAAGCTTGTGTATCTGGTGATTCAATTGGGCAAAGTGTATTGCCACTGGTTTATTTGGATCAAGGTCTTTACCTAATCGTTTGTGTTCAATCACTAATTTAATGTCACTTTTGTGCTTTTTGTAAAGTTTTTGAAAGGGTTAATGGTTTTGCCTATGTAAACCAAAGAGCACGGGCATTTAAGCATGTATACACAATACTCGGATATACAGTTCAAATAACTATGGATCAAATATTTCTTCCCTGTATGGGGGTGACAGAAAGAGTCACCAGTGATAAGTGAGTTACAAACACTACAATTGTGGCATTTGTAGCAGCCCTGTTTTGTAGAAAACCTGTATGGCAAGGTGTCATACTTGGGGTAAGGATCCATACAGACCAGTAAATCTCGTAGGGATCTATTACAGGAGTAGACAACACGGGGTGTGTGTTTAATAGTGGGAGTCAGAGTTCTATCTGCTTTCAGAATATTCATATCCTGTTGCAGTGTGTATTTAACCTGATGTGAAAATACATGGTAATTAGTGATAAATAGAGTGTCATTCGGATGTGTCTCCTTACATTTAGGTACTTGGAATCTAGTTCTCGCAACTTCAAGTGTATGGTCCAGTGTATGATCAGGATAACCCCTCTCACTAAATTTCTTTTACATCATCTGTAGCTGTACTTCACAATCGGTGGAATCAGAACATATACGCATAACCCTGATAAGCAGATATAGGTAGAGAATCCCTCAGTCCATCAGGGTGTGCACTGCTGTAAGAAAGCAACATATTGCGATCGGGTTTTTTTTTATAAAAGGGAGGTGGTAATCAATCCCTGATTAATCACCACTGTCACATCTAAAAAGGAGATTTTCGAGTCTGACACCTCTGGATTAAAAATAATACCATCTATGAGTGTATTAAGGTATTGGACAAAGATCTGTATGGTATCACAGGGTCAAGACCATACCACGAAGATGTCATCTATGTATCTCGTCCACAGTCTGACATCTTTAAAGAGTTCTGATGGGTAAAATGGACGATTTCTTAAGGGACCGTAATATACAGGGGTACAGGTAACAGCCAGGGGTACAGGTAACATACAGGGGTACAGGTACTCCTAGAATGAGATCCTAATAGGTTGGACTTGATGGACTAATGTCTTTATTCAACCTCAAATACTATGTAACTATATATAAAGAGATCTTCTAAATATCCCATAAATAAATTGGCATAAGAAGGAGCAGCCGAGCTGCCCATGGCAGTGCCCTTAGACTGAAGAAAGTACTCTTTCTCAAACCGAAAGTAGTTGTTCCCTAAAACAGTCCTCAGCCCCTCCAAAATAAAAGCAGTTGAAGGGGATGGTGACTCTCTCCGAGACAGATTCAACCGCTAATAGTCCCTCATCTGTTGGAATACATGTATATAGTGAGGATACATCCATTGTAAGTAGTGACCAACCTGGTTCAAACACTTCAATACATTTCAGTTTCATAAGAAAATCATTACTGTCCCGGGTATGAATGCAAATCTTCACCAGAGGTTGGAGAAAGTGGTCCAAAAGCATAGCCAAAGGCGGTAACACTGAACCAGTGCCAGCTACAATGGGGCTTAAAGGTGAGTGGATTCTGTCCCTTATGAATTTTCAGTAATCCGTAAATTACGGGTGTGTGGGCATGCTGATTGTAAAGCCACTCCGAGATGCCCTCAGAGATCCAGCCCTGATTCAAAGCCAAATCGATAAGATATGATAATTTATTCAATATCGATGGTAGCGGATCACGCGGGATTGGAAGGTAGGTATGCAAATCAGACAAAATATCAATTATGCCTGTTCTATAGTTGGCATAATCCATAAGAATAATGGCGCCTCCTTTATCAGCTGGCTTTACGATGATGGACTTGTCAGTCTTGTAGCGATGTCAAGGCGGTTCGTTCGGCCCTATTCATATTAGAGAGACCTAGAGTATTATGTATTCTATTTCGTTCAATGACATTGCGAGTGTCATATCTGACCGTCTTGATGAAGCTCTCGATAGAGGAAAATTGGCCAGGTGGTATGAAGGTACCTTTATTCTTAAATGTATTGGAGGTTTAATCAATGCCTTTGTTACAAGAGTGATGACAGAAGTGCTGTTTCAATTTAAGGGAACGTTCAAGTTTAAATGTATCAATTTCAAATTGAAAGTCGTTAAATTGTGGTGAGGGACAAAAAGATAGTCCCTTACTCAAGATGCCAGTTTCAATATCAGAGATAGTCCTGGACAAAAGATTAATTATCGGACATTCCTGGATCTTTGTTGTCTCGTATTGGTAAACGGACCTGTGTTTTTTCTTCTTACCGCCTCTTCTGGTGCGTTTTTTGTACTTCTTCCTAAAAAAGGTATTGATGAAGAGGGTGATCCAATAGTGGTGGTGTCATGCAATGAGGTGGGTGGCGCATCACTGTCTGGACGGATTTTCCGTAGGTCGCTCGCTCTCACTTAAGCTCATATTTGATTTTTGGAAGCGTTGTCTTGATCCCCCACGTGAAAACGCACCTCCCCTGCGTCGTCCCTGGAAGGTATTCCCAGTGAGCCAGGGATATACCCTACCATCCTGATAGTCCTGACATACTTGTTTGAACTTATCCCGTTTGGCAGCATGAATTTTGTCAGCATAAACAAGAGTATCAGATTCTATTTTCTCAATCTCCGCATTAAACATTGCATCATCAGACATCTTACCCCGAATCTTCATTTCATAGGAGGCGATATCCTTGTTAATTTGGCAAAGCTGTGTCTCTATCTCTTCAAACACGAGAAGCATGTAATTAAAGTCGTTTTGAGTCAAGATTGCACACCACTTGTCGCAGAAATCTCTACTTTGTCTGCCAATGGTCGGTCGGTCGGTTGCGTATGCCAAAACCTCTTGCCACTTTTTTTTTTTACCCTCGGAAAGGGTAAGTCCATGTAGTTTCAAGTCAACATGCTTTTTTTTCAGCCTTTTTAGATCTTGAAACAAATCAATGGCAGAATCAGAGCCAAATGCTGCAATAGGATTTGCTGGAAATATGGCATCAATTTCATGTTTCTTAAAAGAACATGTGTTAGCTTTTTCCTCAGAGTGTTTCCGCTGCGGTTCCATAGTAATCGCAGTGCTTTGCCCAATTGAATCGCCAGATACACGAGCTTAGGGCTATGGTGATCGAATATGTGTCGAAACCTAACCGTGGTGGTGACGGGGATAATATTCTGTTAAGTCGAGAAGCCTATTGGGGCCGTACGTTAAGTACAGTAAAACCTAGAGGTTTGAATACTGCCCTATCTCTATCCTGTTTTTTGACTGACTAGGGCAGTACTGTGTGGCTTTATCCTCCGTCTGTTTCCTCTTTTTAAACTACTATTTTTCTTTATTTTGTTGCAAATGTGCTGACCACTCTGTTTTTTCCATTTGACCTTTGCAAATTGGCGATATATGGTGGATGGTCTGTCTTAAATAGTCATATTTTTGTACCGAAGATTTATATGCTTCTTTTTTTATATAGGATAGTACTATTTTTATATTGATCACCTACCTATATCTCTATGCCAGGATAGTGGAATATCTATGATTGGATCAGCACATGACCTAATTGATCTTTGATATTATGATTTTCTTTGTCACTCTGTTTTTCTAGTCCGTAGTGTCTGTATCTGTCTTCTTATATTATATTTATATATGTGGCACTTGTCACGTATCTATATCACCAGCTTATTGCCTAGGTCGATGGTTCTGGGTCGTAATTATTTCAGGTTGCAGCGTTATTTTATGCTTATTTTATGCTATTGCTCGCTTTTCCCACAATTGACTCAGCTGTTCAAGTGTATTATTTCCACTCATATGCTTTGTTGACATCAGAATGAGTTACGATGCCGCTCCCGGTCACCATAGTGATGGGTGATGCGGTTTATCTGCGCTGGCATTGGTCGTATGCTTTTCGTATGCTTTCCGGTCTCTCACACTCGACTTGACTGCTTGAGTTCACCGTCTCCAGTATTGCGCTCTGTGACTACACCGATCAGCGTTGATGCTGTCTCCGGTCACCATGACAATGGATGACGCGGATTCTATGCGCCGGCGCACTAGAACTAGGGGCGGAGACTCGCAGAGCGATCTCCGGTTTGCGATATCCTGTCGCTCTTTGGTGACTCCAGCGCCTGCATTTGATTTATCTGCATCCCTGAACCGGACCTTAACCACGCTCTGGAACTGGACCCTGATTGCAATGGGTATGATATATGTTTCTTAAGCTGGTATTTCACGGTTTGTTTTTTTGCATTTGAAAATGGCCGACTTTCCCACCATTATGATGTCACAGGGGGTGTTGCTTCAGATTATTGGTTAGCCTCATGAGGTATATATGTGGTTATCAAATGTCAGTGTATTGTCACTCTTTATGCCCTGATGGTCTCGAAACGTTGGCTCTTGTGATTGTGTGACGTCTATGTCCAATAAATGGACATGTTGGATTATTCTACTGAGTGATGGTGATTCCTTTTCCTAGATTTCAAATAAATAAGACAAACATTAACCCAAATGTTACTTACCTGTCCTATCTTCCTCTTGACGAACACTAGGTTGTACAGTGAAGCTGATTTTTGCCGCCAACTTTCCATCAAGAACAGACTTATGGGAAACTGCTTTCTTGTTAGCAACTTCTAGAAGTAAAACAGAGAGTAAAAGCATAAATTATCTACACTGGTTTTCTTTAATTCAAATGTATCACGTCAGGAAAAAAAAATCAGTACAACAAACAGCTTAACACCAGGAATCTCATTAATTTCTCTGTCTATGACCCCTGTGCAAATGTCAGTGTTTTGTTGCAAGCAGAAATACACCTGCCACACGAAATACTACAAGCGCTACTTTGGGCCAGATTCCAGCTCATTTTGTCCCATAAGCTCAATAGAAAACGCTTGAAAAACGTGCATTGTGATTTGTTTGCCCATTCACATGAATGTGCCAGAATCTGCTCACAAAAACATGCGACTTAATATACACGCGTAAAACACTCGCAAAATAAGACACGTGCAAAATAAGACACCGGTGAAACGCGCGTAATAGGTGTTGCCTAGGTGTAAATCCAGCCTTAGACTCTATTGAATCAATGGGGAGAAAACGGTCTAAATCTACCCCAAAGTAGCGCATGTAGTATTTGTGACAGGTGTATTTCTGCTTGTGAAAAAAACGCTGAGGTGTGGACAGGGGCCATAGAACTGAATGGGATTCCTGGGGGGTTGAGCGTTTTGTCGCGCAGACTGACTAGCAACAATACACTAAGGCCTGGTTCACACTGAGCGTTTTGTAGCACTTCTTCTGCCCTAAAAAACGCACAAAAATTATCCATGAGTTTTCTATTTTTTTTTTCTCACCAGGTGAGACAGAAAAAAAAATGTCCCTTCATGTCTACACTTTAATTCTGCACTGGATCTACGGGGAGCAGCTATGGTTGACACACAGGCTGGACTTCAAACATGTCTGCCTTTGTTCGTCCCATTACATGCAGGATTCGGCCAAGATCAATACAGGAAACTCCCAGTTATCCAGCTCAATAGATCGGGAAGTGAGCGAACACATACCGTCGCTCGCTCATGTCATTGCAGAGAGCTGTGACTGTCAGCCATGGCTCCCTGCAGGGATTCCCCCCCCCCCCCCCGATACTCCAGCGCTGACTGGCGGAACGGACGGGGGATAGGGGCCTATCTACAGGCAGAGCCAGCCATCACTCACGCAGCTGGGTGGATCTCGACAGTAATGTCGAGATCCGTCCCTGCTGCAGCGGTCACAGTATACCGCGAGCTGTAGCTCGCGATATACTGAGCTTTGGGTCACGGGAGGACGCTAGTTTATGTCCTCCTGTGACCCTGAGGAGAACTATGGGGAAAAATACTTACCCCATAGTTCTCATTGAACTCTCAAGCAACAACCCCTGCCCCATTCATCTGCTGGCTAGATTCTACTATTGGCTATTTCAAATTGCCATAGCCAATAGTAGGCTGGCTACTGCACACGTCCATTGTTTACATTCACCTGCCAGCTACGGAATCTACCAGTCAGTCATAGCAAGATGTAAACGGAGAATTTCCTTTGCAACAAAATGCATTTTTTACTGTGCACATGTCTATCAAGGAACTGGCAAAAAATATTGACATATGTCCTCGATTTTTTTTTCTTGTTGCTTGAATACCGGATAATGGGGAGTTTACTGTAGTTATTTTCTGGAGTTGCTGAATATGTTCTAAGCCTAAAAACTAAAACAGCCACCATATCGAAGGACTGGTAAACTACAATATATTAAATTTCTGCTTTTGGGTTTAGATAATCTAAGAGCTATGAAAGTGTACAACCATACCTCACAGGTATTCTTCCAGAGGGCACCCTAGATGAGACATTCAAGCCAGTGGGACATCAATGCAAGCTAATATTTGCTACTGTGCCGATCACATGGACTGTTCAGAGAATTTCATGGCCCAATCTATATTACTGGTGGTACTGATAAGGCCTTAATTTCAATGGAAACATAGCGTGGGCACACTGCTTCTCTCTCTCTCTCTCGCATATTAAGTTTGCCTTTTGGCAGCTAGTTTGATAGTGGGAATTTATAATAGATTACCACACAGATAGGTGATGAACATTTGTAAATGAAAGGAGCAAAACATATGATGGCGATTCATCAGCAAGTTGGTGGACAATGTCTTAAAAGTTTATGCTGAGACCTTGTTTAAAAAGGGACCATAGTATATGCTGAGACCTTGTTTAAAAAGGGACCATAGTATGACATTATGTACCTCAAGGCAGATGTAAACTAGTGTCACCATTATAAAGCACTGCCAGCATACTAAACTTTAAAGGCACTCTCCAGACTGGCCACCTCCATCTCACAAGCCTGTTTTATGCATCGGAGGGAATTGGAGGACAGTCAATGTAATCTGCATAGAGTTACTCCACGCTAAAAATAAAAGTACTATCAACATGCATGAATTTACTTCCCTACAATGAAATGCAAGCCAAAACATGCTTGACTGGCCCTTCTCCCTCTACTGATCGCCTTATCCAATAATATTTTACGCACTTTCAGAAGTAGCTTTGGTCACAGGTCCTTGACTTCTTAGTTTCTTCAGAGTGTTAACAGCTACATTCAGATAAATATTACGACTGTTGCTACGAGTGTAGACTGACTTTTCTTCTTCAAGGGCCTATAAAAAGGTAAAATATTAGCATTTTAAAAAGGGATATAAAAGACCCATTAAATAATAATAATTTAAAAAAAAAAATCAGACACCTACCTTATCAAATGCTTCCTTTTGTGAAACACAAAATTTTAAACACTCATCAATAAAGATATTAAGGTAACGCTGACGAATATTGGTTGGTACTTTTGCACCATATTCAGTGGGAATGACCGGCCTTTTCAGGGCAGCACACTGAAAGCAAAAAACAGTAATTAAATAATTTATTAGAGAGGTTTTGCACTGGAAGTCCAAACAGAAAGCAGTACAGTAAACTCCCAGCTATTCGGCACCCACGAGGATCTGTAGGTGATGGATAACACTAGTTTCTGGCTGCTTGAAAGTTCTTTCAGGTCCGCACCTCCGGGTGCAATAGCCAGCCTGCTACTGGCTATTTCAAATTGCAATAGCAGGCTGGCTATTGAAACCCCGCCCACTGAGCAGAGTGGAACTTAGAGAGAAAGGTCTCTCTAAAGTCCAATCCTCTGCTCAGTGGGCGGGTACAATAGCCAGTCTGCAATTGGCTATTGCAATTTGAAATCGCCAATAGCAGGCTAACTATTGTTCATCGTTTTCTTTTTATAAAATTCATTATTTAACAAGGTATAAAAGTCAATACAGTCATAAAAGAAGAAGAAACGGCATATACAGGGAACAGACATAAGACACAGTCATTGTAGCAATTAAAGTTCCAGAAATAACATAGGGACACAAAACAGTATCAGTAACAACCCAAAATGTTATTCGTGCACCAGTAGGGTTTGGAGAAAATCCTTTCAATTCTTGTATTACAACAATGTTTAGGAACCCAAGGGTAGTGCTAATCAAATATCTCGCCGATAGGCAAATGGATGGTCACATTATATATATATATATATATCATACATATACATACACACACATACACACACATATACACATATACATACACACACACACCTAAATCTATATACACATAATATTAAGAAGAATCTGAACATAAAAAAAGGAGATCTAGGAACACAGTACAGATAGAATTTTAAAAAATAAGAGATGAAAAGGGTGAAAAGAAATAGGATTTTTGTACTTTCCGTAAAATCCTTTCCTCTCCGTTCATTGAAGGACACAGGGCAACAGATCGTAGATCCTGAATGGTAGGGTATATCGCCACCTGCAGGAGTAGGACGCTAGGCACATAACAAAAAGACAGCCTAGGGGCAGCCCCTGCTGGTGGCCCAACCCCTCACTTGCTGACAAGTCTCCAGTAAGTAACAAGCAGTTAGGAGTGTACACCCCACAAAAGAGGGCGGGACCTGCGTCCTTCAATGAACGGAGAGAAAAGGATTTTACGGTGAGTACAAAAATCCTATTTTCTCTCCCGTTCATTGAAGGACACAGGGCAACAGATCGTAGATCCTGAATGGTAGGGACGTCACCAAGCAGTAACACACTGAGGGATGGGTAACAACAAACAAAACACCCAAAAGACCGCTTAAAGCGCCGCCTGCAACACTTTGCGCCCCAAACCAGCATCCGCCGATGCAAACACGTCCACCTTGTAAAACTTAACAAAGGTGTGAACAGAAGACCAAGTAGCGGCCTTACAAACCTGAGAAACCGAGGTCCCATGACGAAAGGCCCAGGAGGCCCCCACAGCCCAGTAGAATGGGCTGTGACAGGGAAAGGAGGCCCACGCCCCTTAACGGCGTACGCCTGAATAACCACAATGCGAATCCACCTAGAGAAGGTAGCCGCTGACGCGGCCCCACCCTTACAAGGGCCCACCGTGAGCACGAACCAGGAATCCGTCTCACGAAAAGAGGCCGTAGCCTCCAAATAGACACGAAGAGCGCGAACCACGTCCAAACAGTGGAGTGCACGTTCCTTCCTATGAACCGGCTTCGGGCACAGGGAAGGTAAGACATTGTCCTCATTCTGATGGAATGCCGACACAACCTTAGGCAGGAAGGCCGGCCTAGGATGGAGAACCGCCTTGTCCCTATGCAACACCATCAACGGAGACTTGCAGGACAGGGAAGCCAACTCCGAAACCCGCCGCACGGAAGTGATGGCCACCAAAAAGGCCACCTTCTGCGACAAGGACAAAAGCGGAATCTCCCGAAGAGGCTCAAAAGGAGATTCCTGCAACACGGAAAGCACGAGATTCAGGTCCCACGGAGCCAAAGGCGAGCGGACGGGGGGAGCAATGCGCGTCACCCCCTGAACAAAGGTATGAACCAGAGCGTAAGACGCCAAAGGCCGCTGGAACAGCACCGCCAAGGCACAGATCTGGCCCTTCACAGTACTCGAGGCCAGCCCCTGAGCCACCCGCGCTGCAAGAAAGCAAGAATTCTGCTGGATGGAACACAGGTCCCTGGGACAGAAGATCGGGGCGCAGAGGCAGATGCCACGGGGCGTCCACCACCAGCTGAACCACGTCCGCGTACCACACCCTCCGAGGCCAGTCTGGGGCCACGAGGATGATGGTGACGCCCTCGGCTGCGATCCGACGCAGCAGCCGAGGGGGAAAGGCGTAAAGTAGACCGTAATGACCCCAAGGAGCCACCAGGGCATCCACTGCCTGCGCCCAGGGATCCCCCGGGCCACAAACCTGTCAACCTTCCGGTTGAACCGAGACGCCAGAAGATCCACCTCCGGCGTCCCCCAGCGTCGACGCAGCTGCTGAAAAACCTCTGGGTGGAGAGACCACTCCCCCAGATCCACCGACTGTCGACTGAGGTAATCGGCCTGCCAATTGTCCACACCCGGGATTTAGACCGCCGACAGAGCCAGAACTCGATTTTCCGCCCAGGAGAGAATCCCGAACACCTCTCGACCTGCGGCCACGCTTTTTGTGCCGCCCTGGTGGTTGATGTACTCCACTGCAGTGGCGTTGTCCGACTGGACCCAGACCGCCAGACCCATGAAGGAGAGAAAGGCGAATCGTCCGAAGTTCCAACACATTTAATCGACAGGCGGGACTCCTCCGGCGACCAACGACCCTGCACGGTCAAGGAGCCCAGGACCCCGCCCCAGCCCCAAGGGCTGGCGTCTGTGGTGACCACCGTCCAGTGCACGGGAAGTAAAGACTTCCCCCGCACCAAGGCCGGAGATTGAAGCCACCACCGCAGGGAGGCCCTCGCCTCCCGAGAGATCCGAATCTCCCCGTCCAAGGACGGGGGGAACTTGTCCCACTGCACCAGGATGTTCCTCTGCAGGGTCCTGGTATGATGTTGCGCAAAGGGCACCGCCTCGAAGGAGCCACCATGACCCAGGACCTGCATGCAAACCCGAATGGGCGACCACTGGCGAGTCCTCAGTAGCCGGACCTTGGAACGGAGCTTCAGGAGCTTGTCCCGAGGAAGAAAGACCCGGGTCGCGACAGTGTCCAGAACCAAACCCAGATACTCCAGGCGTGGTGAAGGCACCAGGCAAGATTTTCGCAGGTTCAGAAGCCACCCGAACTCCTCCAAGGACCGCACCGTGACCCCCAGAGCCGTCACCATAGAAGAATGCGACTCCGCCCGTAGGAGCAGGTCGCCAGGTACCCCACGATCAAAACCCCCCGACAATGCAACAGGATCGGGGCTAGCACCTTGGTGAACACACGTGGGGCCGATGCCAGCCCGAAGGGCAGCGCCACAAACTGAAAATGGTCCTCCCCCACCGCGAAACGAAGATACCGCTGATGAGACTCGCAAACGGGTACATGAAGGTATGCATCCCGGATATCGATGGAGGCCAGCAGATCTCCCTGACGGACCGGATCGACTCCATCCGGAACCGACGGACCTGCACGAAGGTGTTCAAGCATTTGAGGTTCAGGATAGGCCGCACCCCCCCTTTCTTGGGCACAGTAAACAGGTTTGAATAAAACCCTTTGAACCTTTCCGAGGACGGAACTGGCACAATCACCCCCTGGGACAAAAGGTCCGCCACAGCGCGACGGAGATCCGCCAACCGCGAAGGAGAGGCGCGTGTTGGACGGGAACAAAACGGTTTCCCGGACGGGACAGAAACTCGATCTTGTAGCCCGAAGAAACAAGCTCCCGGACCCAAGAGTAGGAGACGTGGGCCAGCCAAAAATCGGCAAAGAGCCGAAGGCGCCCCCCCACCCTGGGACCCAGAGTCGGGGCCCGACCTTCATGCGGACTGGGGCTTGCCGGCGGGCTTAGCAGACTTGGGTTGCCACGGACGCTTGGAGGATTGGGAAGAGGAGGATTTGTTAAATTACCGCCCTTGTCGGAGGCGAAAAAGCCGCTTGTGAGAGGAGAAAGTAGGCCCAGGCTTCCGGCGCGGTTCCTTCTTGCGCGCCTGGGGAAGGAAGGTACTCTTACCCCGTCAGATCCTTAATGATCTCATCCAAGGTGGAACCAAACAGACGGTCCCCAGTAAAGGGCAACTCCTGTAGAGCCTTCTTGGAAGCCTGATCCGCCAACCAGCACTTAAGCCAGAGCAAAACGGCGAAGCGTCACCGCTGACACCGACACCTTGGACACCAAGGGCGCCGCATTCAAGGCCGAATTGCAGACATAACGAAGGCCCTGCACCAACTGGTCCGCTAATTCCACGAAAGCGGGGGAGACGTGCTCCTCCGCAAGACCCTGATGTAACATCTTAGCCCACTCAGTTAGAGTCTGAGACCAAAGCCGAAGCCAAGACCGGGCGCATGAGAGTGCCCGAAACAGAGTACAGAGACCGCAAAAGCGCCTCAGCCTTCCTATCGGAAGGATCCTTAAAGGACGGAGAATCCTCCACCGGAATAACCGTGGCTTTGTTCAAACGAGAGACCGGCGGGTCCACCACCGGCAGAGAAGACCATTTAGACACAAAGGCCTCCTCGAAGGGGTAGCGAACCGAGAACCGCTTAGGAACCGCAAAGGACTTGGTAGGCCGTTTCCACTCCTTATAAATGAAATCACCAAAACAGGGGATGTAAGGAAACACATTGGCAGAACGCCTACTCTTATGCGTCCCAAACTGCACGTGCGGCAGTGCAGAAGTGCTGGCAACATCCTCAATCTTAAGGGTCTCCCTGACAGCGCGGACCAGCGCCGAAACAGTTTCACGTTCCTGGACCAGGTGCGTAGACGAATCAGGATGTGAGTAATCACCCGGATCAGGATGAGGCGACATCGTGGGTAGTTCCCCCCTCCTCTTCGGACTCCCCTGACAGGTGGGCGCTGCGTCAAGGCGCGCTCCATGCGCATCACAAACCCATCCATGACAGAGGAAAAAGATTCCAGGGACAATGCGGTACCACCCCGCCCCCCCCCCTGAAGAACCGGAGGGACGCACTGGCGACAGGCAAAGCAGCGTAGGCGTACAGGACGCACAAAGAGGGGATCTAGAGGGGTCCGCAGAGAGCAGCCCACAACCCTCACAAGGCAATGCAGGAGAGTCATCCCTGCAATCCATTGCACACCCGCAGCAAAAATCACCCCACAGACCAGAGACCACCAGGCAAGGGAAAGATGGATCCCCAACAACTCACGACCCTCAGCGTTTGTCCCGGCCCAGACGTCCGACCCTGCAAAGTGGAAGAGCTCTGCACGCTGTGTCCTTCTCCTATGGCGTCCATGAGCCGAAAGAAAGACACTCCCCATCCGCCCGAGGCTATAGGAAGCCGGGGCCGGAGGTTACGCAACATCCCGGTCAGAAGCCCCCCCCGGGATGAATCCCATAGGCGTCGGGGAGGACCACACGTCGCAGCCGACCCACCGTAGCTGAGTCGGCATGCGCTCGTCGGTCACCCAGGGGAGACTACAAGGATCTACAGTCATCCAGCCGGTCGCCCTGGGGACACTTGCTAGAAGAAAAATCAAGTTAAACGGAAGAAAGGAAAAAAAATTCTCCAGAGAAAAAGATTTAGCTCCTTACTCCTGACGCTAGGCAAAAAACTGGAGACTTGTCAGCAAGTGAGGGGCTGGGCCACCAGCAGGGACCGTCCCTAGGTTGTCTTGTTTTTTAGTTATGTGCCTAGTGTCCTACTCCTGCAGGTGGCGATATACCCTACCATTCAGGATCTACGATCTGTTGCCCTGTGTCCTTCAATGAACGGGAGAGAAAAGTGGCTACCTGCTACACCAAAGTAGAGAGAAGGAGAGTAACAATTTTTACTCAGGGTCTATAAGGCATTCCACAAAGGGGAAGCTAGGAAGACGAGGAGCACTAGTCTTGACATAATAGTTCTGCAGCAGAGCTCCAAAATCTTTGTGAGGCTACATATTAGGGCTGCAACAACTAATCGATTGACTCGATTATAATAACTCTGCTCCTTTGTTCTCCTCCCTGCAGGTGCCGGCTGCAACAGTCTGTGTCCCTTTCAATCCCTGCTGCTCTCCCTGCCTGCATTGGCAGAAAGCAGCAGGGACACAGACGGCAGCAGCCGGCACCAGCGGGAAGGAGAGGCCGTTGTACCTCTGCATTGCCTCGCTGGTGCCACAGTTCCTCTGCTGGTGCCCCCCATTCTTACGCTGCTCACCCCGTGCCTCCACTGCTGTCCACATCCCTTGGCTGCTGCCCTTACCTCTGCTGCTCCCCTGTGCCCCCTTTTCGGCCGGCAGTAGAAAGCCGGTCTCTCATCAGTGGCTGGAAACAATAGCCAGCCTGCTATTGGCTATTTAAATTGCAATAGCAGGCTGGCTATTGCACCCGCCCACTGTCTGCTGTCAATCAGCAGAGGACGACCTGAAGGAGAACTTTCTCCTTCAATTCCTGCCTCTGCTGAATGACAACAGGCAGTGGGCGGGTTCAATAGCCAGCCTGCTATTGGCTATCGCAATTTAAAATAGCCAATAGCGAGCCGGTTATTGCTCCGAGCCACCGCCTGCTGTTGTAAGGCAAAGAAAAAAAAAAGTTAGGATTAAAAATAACCCCCAAAAAATGTAAAGTCTCCCAACCCCGCGCATACTAACGGAAACACAAGCCAGGTGCACTTACATAGAAAAATGATGGTCACCGCCTGCGCCGGAGTGAGAGCAAAAATTCTCAGAGAGAGAGAGAGAGAGAGAGGGGAGAGGAGAGAGCGGCAAGTGTCATTTATGCTTTTGGTCTGAAAAATCTGCTCCGAGCTGTGCGTTGTGGTGCCATTAATTTCAATGGCATCCCAAATGCCCCTCCTACTTAGTGTGATCACCTGCACTGGAAAGTAACGGTACTGCAATGCCATGCGCTCCAGTGCAGTGCGAGTGCAAAAAATGCGCATGCAGTTTTATTCTGAAGAAAATTTTATGTTTGAAACACTCCACTGTGTATTTTATTTTAAATAAAATATGTTTTTTTTTAATCCGATCAAAAAATTAAAATTGGCCAACTAATCGATTATGAAAATAATAGTTAGCTGCAGCCCTACTAAATATAATCAGCTGGAAGCTGATGTTTGACAACTATGTAACTTAGGAAAATGTTACTCATCCATAGATACAGTACAGTAAGTGACAATTGGTACCCTTGGATAGGTAGGTGTTGCTGGAAGGTTCAACATGCAAAAAGTGTGAAATGGGCCTGAATAAAAGAGAAATAATGCAGCCACCATATACAGGAACTGGCGAGTTTAATTTATGCTTAACCACTTCCAGTGGGTTCACGTAAATACATGTCATCCACTGAAAGTGGTTACACGCTATGTGTATCCACCCCCTCCACCGATGTCGGCTTCCCAGGCTCAGCTGTTCCCCGTGCGTGCCCGGGACCGGCATGGTGGGTCTCCCCTGATGGATCGGAGGGAGAACAGCAGGCTTCCAGCCACTGATCTATCCTCCGATCACTGGACCCGGAAGTGATTTGCATTACATCACTTCTGGTGTCACTGAGCACATCCTCAGGCTCCGAGAGCCAGAAGAAGCAGCTGGTGAAGCAGATCTCTGCTTCATCCGCTTCTTTGGTACAATTGTTGATTTTTGTACACTACCACAGTATCATTGTTGTACACTACCGCAAGCTACAGTCATCATTATGAATCCAAGTTCCCTTTATAAAAATGTACCATTTATCTACTGAAGTGAAGGAACACAACATCGGTGTCAAATAAGTCAATTTTGTTCATTGGGATCACACAAAAAAACACAAATTCTGAAGGTAGAAGGGAATGTGAACAACCTGTGCAATTAAAATTCAAGGTAGCACATGTATTTCTATCAAAATCAATATACCTTTAGTGATGGTATATGTGCTTGTCTTTTTTGTGTAGATGTGGAGGTGGTTTTTGATGCCATGCCTGCAACAGTTTGCATCTTGAGGGATAGTGTTGAACCACTATGTGCCGATAATGGACTCTTCCCCTCTGCATGAAAAAAAGTAATTAATAATGGAAAGCCAGTAAACACAGTCATAAGGCATTTGGAATTCCAAACTCTTAAAATGTCTGCAAGTCCCTGTACTTAAGGATATACTTTCACTGGTGGTGTTTGGGGGGGGGGGATGGAGTGGCAGCAATCTTCATGGCAACCTTAATGGCACCCTGTTTGTTTTGGGTAGTAAGAAATTGTTAAACGCCCTGGCAGTGGTTCCTGACCTATTTACGTTGCTGGCCCTGGAACTGTCTCATGCTTTCCTGTGCAGGGATAATGTCAGCGGCCACCTGCCCGGATGGAGCCCTCTCCTCATTCCTCTTTCTTTCCCAAACAACTTTTAGCGCTTTCTTTTCTCTTTATTCTACTCTTTACACTCTTGGTCTTCTTGCGGTCCTGCCCCCTTCTTTCCTCTTTCTCCTTTCCTTTTCGTTTACCCCTACGACTTATCTTCCATACGGTTCACCTTTTTCTTAAATTGCTAACTTTTTCAAAAAACGGACAGGATGAGTACTCACACTCTCTATAATTAGATGTCCTTTTTTGAACTGGTTTTTACAACAAAGATGGTCTGAATATATACACAGGAATATGCTATCTGTGTCACCACTCATGACTGTTAAATTGTCAATGTTAATTTGGACATTGCGTTGTACCATTTGTACAAATTACTGTCCACTGTGTGCTACTACTATGCTGTATTTTCATAAATAAAGAATTTTTTCTTTAATCCCCGGGCAGGTTTTTTATTGCCGTCTGTGTCACTGTTGGGGAAATTCCCCTCATTTGTCTTGGTGATTAAATTATAATAGTTTGTTAAATAGGAGACAAGGGAAAATCTTCCAATGGGGACAACTGGCCACCCACAGTTCACATTACACCCAATTCCTGCTGTTTTTTGGGGTTTGGATCCTGGTGTAAGCACTACCTACATTGTAAAGTCTTGTGACAGTACTGGGTGCTACATAAGTTTAATTTAAGGACCACTGGCTTGCCAGAAACATTCAAGTATTTAATTTCAATTTACCAGAAGACTGAGAGGCTGGCACATGAGCAATTCGTTTTGATTCTCCTGGCAAAGTCAGAGGAGACTTCTGAGCACTGCTCTTCAACTGACTGGCTTGCTGCTGAGACACAAGATGTGTGGCCTGATCCTGTGCCCTCTGAATCCTCCGATAACAAATCTCTTGAGGTGTAGGGCGGCGATGTGGACGGATAACATGTTTACTGGATAAATCAGCCTGGTGGAAAAAATAAAAGTTACTTACTAGTATAGAGACATGGTGGTTGAGAAAGTAGATTTGCACTGTTAAGGCCATGTCAGACAGGCGATTTTGTAGCAGTGATACATCCCTCGCTGTTGCAAATTGCTGGTACCAGCTAACAGCAATTTATAGCTACAGTTGGGTAAAAAAGTATTTAGTCAGCCACCAATTGTGCAAGTTCTCCCACTTAAAAAGATGAGAGAGACCTGTAATTGGCATCATAGGTAGACCTCAACTATGAGAGACAAAATGAGAAAACAAATCCAGACAAATCACATTGGCTGATTTGGAACTAATTTATTTGCAAATTATGGTGGAAAATAAGTATTTGGTCAATATCAAAAGGTCATCTCAATACTTTATTATATATCCTTTGTTGGCAATGACAGAGGTCAAACGTGTCCTGTACGTCTTCACAAGGTTGGCACACACTGTTGCTGGTATGTTGGCCCATTCCTCCATGCAGATCTCCTCTAGAGCAGTGATGTTCTGGGGCTGTCGCTGGGCAACATGGACTTTCAACTCCCTCCAAAGGTTTTCTATGGGGTTGAGATCTGGAGACTGGCTAGGCCACTCCAGGACCTTGAAATGCTTCTTACGAAGCCACTCCTTCGTTGCCCGGGCGGTATGTTTGGGATCATTGTCATGTTGAAAGACCCAGCCACGTTTCATCTTCAATGCCCTTGCTGATGGAAGGAGGTTTGCACTCAAAATCTCACGATACATGGCCCCATTCATTCTGTCCTGTACAACAGTGGTCCTCAACCCCCGGGCCGTGGACCGGTACTGGTCCGTGGATCAAATGGTACTGGGCCGCGGGGCCCCGCACTGCCGACGGGCTTCACAGTGAGGGGGCAGGTCCTGTGACTCACCTCCCCTCCCTGCCGGGTCCATAGTAACAGGCGGCGGGAGGGGAGGTGAGTCAGAGGACACGTGTGTGTCACAAGCCCCGCCCGCTGCAGTGAGTGCACACAACTCCCTGGCTGGGTAAGCCCGAGCGCTCTTCTTCTTTAAGAGGCTCCTCTGTCCTGCGCTCATTACCTGCAGGTAATAAGTATTTGGTCACCTACAAACAAGCAAGAGTTCTGGTGACCAAATACTTATTTTCCACCACAATTTGCAAATAAATTTGTTCCAAATCAGCCAATGTGATTTGTCTGGATTTGTTTTCTCATTTTGTCTCTCATAGTTGAGGTCTATCTATGATGCCAATTACAGGCCTCTCTCATCTTTTTAAGTGGGAGAACTTGCACAATTGGTGGCTGACTAAATACTTTTTTACCCCACTGTAGCTACTGAATTGCTACAGTCACTAGCGATTTGTTTCTAAGAAGTGATTTATTGCAACTACAGGTCAAACTCCTGCTACAGCATTACATCAGTCCCCACTGCTTCAAATAGCACTCCTTCAGAGATTTCTAGCTATTCCATAGATGTGAATGCAGAATGATTGTTATTACCATGAAGCACTGCACAAACTCAATTGATGATTGGCTGAACAATTACATAGTAAATAACTATGATTACCTTAGCAAGGAGAAAAAAAAAAAAAGGGAGGATCACTGCAAATAAATTGCCTGTCTGACATGGAACTTATTAACATACATGTGAAAGAATCTATTGACCATATTTTCAGTAAAGAAAATTGCTTTTTATGAAGTCAATAATGCACGAATGACAGACAAAAAGGTAAACCCCGCCAAATTAAAGCACAGCAAAACAAGATGCCCCATGGTTAAGCAAAAGGTAAGTTACACAGGTAAAAAGTGGGGATAATATAAACTGAACCGATGTGTATGCAAGTAAGAATTAGGGATGCACCAATACTAGTATCGGTACCAAAACCAACTATTTGGGCGAGTACTTGTACTTGCCAAAATGCTCCCGACGCCTATCCAGATACCGGAACTTTCAATATGAGGAAGCCAGGCGGTGAGTCATTACACTCTGCCCGCCTTCTCGATTGGCCCGGGAAGGCGTCTTCCTGATTGGCTAGAAAGCCGGCTTCCCGGCTAATCAGAAGCCAGGCGGCGAGTCATTACACGCCGCCCGGCTTCCTTAATGGGACTTCTGGTATTGGTATTCGGTGTCGGCGAGTATCGAAAAAAAAAAAAACCCATCCGTACTCGATACCGAAAAACCAGTAACAGTGCATCCCTAGTAAGAATGCTTCCAGAAATAATTTAAAAAAAAAGTGTTTGCAGTTTAACAGAAAGGAAATCCAAATCAAATCAATATTTGAGGTGGCCACCCTTTGCCTTCTAAACAGCATCATTCTTCCAGGTACACTTGCACACAGTTTTTGAAGGAACTCAGCAGGTCGGTTGCTCCCAACATCTTGGAGAACAAACCACAGATCTTCTGGGGATGTGGGCTGCCTCAAATCCTTCTATCGCTTTGTGTAATCCCAGACAGACTCGATGTTGCGATTAGGGCTCTGTGGGGGCCAAACCATCACTTCCAGGACTCCTTGTTCTTCTTTACGCTGAAGATAGTTCTTGATGACATTGGCTGTATGTTTGGGGTCATTGTCCTGCTGCAGCAAAAATTTGGGGCCAATCACACACCTACCTAATGGTATGGCATGATAAATAAAGTATCTGCTTGTATTTCTCAGCATTGAGGACACTATTGATCCTGACCAAATCTCCAACTCCATTGGCAGAAAGCAGCCACAGACTTGCAAGAAACCTCCACCATGCTTCACTGTTGCCTGTAGACACTCATTATTGTAACGCTCTCCAGCCCTTCTGCAAACAAACTGCCCCCCGCTACAGCCAAATATTTCAAATTTTGACTCCTCAGTCCAGAGCACCTGCTGCCATTTTTCTGCACACCAGTTCTTATGTTTTCGCGCATAGTTGAGTCGCTTAACCTTGTTTCCACGTCAGAGGTATGGCTTTTTGGCCGTAATTCTTCTATGAAGAACACTCCTGGCCAGACTTCTCCGGACAGTAGATGGGTGTATCTGGGTCCCACTGATTTCCGACAGTTCAGTGCTGATGGCACTGCTGGACACCTTCCGATGTCAAAGGGCAGTAAGCATGATGTGTCTTTCATCTGCTGCATTAAGTTTCCTTGGCCGACCACTGTCTACGGTCCTCAACGTTGCCCGTTTCTTTGTGTTTCTTCAAAAGAGCTTGAATAGCGCATCTTGAAACCCCAGTCTGCATTGAAATCTTTACCCAGGAGAGACCTTGCTGATGCAGTATAACGGTCCTGTGACTGGTTGCTGTGCTCAGTCTTGCCATATTGTATAACCTGTGACATGAAACTGTCTTCCACAACCTCACCTAAGTAGCAGAGTTCGGCTGTTCCTCACCTAGTTTTAAGCGTCCTACACAGCTGTGTTTCAATCTACATATGAAATTGATGATCATTAGCTCCTACTTGGTATAATTGGCTAATCATACATCTGACTATAATCCTAAAAAATCCCTGACTTTGTGCAAGTTGATGCTGGTTTGAATCAAAAAGGTCAGTCACATCAAATACTGATTTGATTTAATTTTTTCTTCTGTTCACTCACTTTGCATTTTGTAAATTGATAAAAATAAACAATAAAAATACATATTTGTGAAAACATTCTTACTTTACAGCATTTTTTTTTACTCCTGCCCAAAACTTTTGAACTCACCCACACAACTCCAACACTCCTCTCTGAACTCTGGTCCAGACTCCTAATAAGGCTGCTCTCAGCCACCTGATCCAGCTATACTGGTCATTGGCAACACCTGGCCCCAGGACTGGAGATTTCATCCCACCCAGAGCTCTACGAAATCTCCAGAGCTCCAGATCCCAGCTACATTTAGGAAAACTTGGAAGAACCTGAAAAGCCAGGTTCCTCCTTATAACCTGCTTTGCTTTCTGGGCCCTCTCAGCCCCTTTGGCTGAGAGTCCTGGGTGCCAAGGTCGCCATCCTCCACCGTGGCATTGGCTTACACTGCCACAATATATTATATATATATATAAAACACACACGGCCAAAAATATTGGCACCCCTGCATTTCTGTCAGATAGTGCACCACTTCACGCTGAAAATTGTTGCAATTACAAATGTTTAGGCATTCTCATGTTTATTTCTTTTGTTTGTATTGGTATGACAAAAAAGTGGAGGGGAAAAAAAGCCAAATCTAACACATTCCATGCCAAACTCCCAAAATGGACTGGGCAAACTTATTGGCACCTTCTCCAAATTGCAAGAAATAATTACATTCCAAGTTTTTGTGAAAAAGCCTGGACAATCTCAAGCTTACAAGTCCATCTCCAGAGATCTTAATGCTACTGTGTCCACAACATTGTCAAGAAGTTTACAACCCATGGCATGGTGGATAAAGACCCTTAATCAACTTCCAAACAAATTCAAGCTGACCTTCAGGCACAGAGTGCAACTGTGTCAGCTTGCAACTATACGTTGCCATCTGAATGAAAAGGGACACTATGGTAGGAGGACCCCCCGCTGACACAGAAACCGAAAACAGCCAGATTGGAGTTTGCCAAAACTTACCTGAGGAAGCCAAAATCGATTTGGGAGAATGTGCTGTGGACAGACGAAACAAAATGACAGATTTTGGTAGAGCCCATCATTCTACTGTTTTCAGAAAAAGAAATGAGGCCTTTAACCACTTCAAGACCAGGTGTTTAGACCCCCCTTCCTGGCCAGGCCATTTTTCAGTGTTCAGCGCTGCGGTACTTTGACTGACGTTTATTCCATCATGCAACGCTGTACTGAAATGAATTTAATACCATTGTTTGGGGATAGATAGAGCTTTCTTTTGGTGGTATTTAATCACCACTGGGGTTTTTTACTATTAAGGAAAAAATATTGACATTGTTTTTTTCATTATGTTAGGAAACAATGATTATTACCCATATTTTTGGTAAAATATAAAAGACGGGGTCACGTCGGGTAAATAGACACCAAACATGTCATGCTTTAAAATTGCGCGCACCAGCGAAAATCGCAAAAAACGATC